AAAAAGAAAAAGGTCATATTAGCTCAGAAATCGAATTCCTGCTGCACGATTTCTTAGGCGGCAAAAAATCTGGCCCACCATTGAAGTTGTTCATTTTTTTTAATTTTAAACTGCATTTTAAAAATATTTATTTCTAAAACTATTCGAAATTGGGAATTTTGACCCCTATTATAATTCTATTTGGTTCTTTGACCCATTTTTTACAAACACTTGTCACCCTTTCATAACTTAGTTTGGACCCATTTTCATTTTTTGTCAKGGTAAAATTACTAAAACATCCATGTTTTCTTTTATTAAATAAAAAGCAAAATTCTCCAATCCTACATAATCTTGGTTTTCTCCACCAATCTATCACCTTAAAACTCACGTCATTTTAATCTGGAGATTCAATTCCGATTCCCATGAACTAGAAGTTTTTTACCACTAATAATTTTCTACAAAAGAAATTATAATAATAAATACGCAAGAAACTGAGAATTGAATTTGCATAATCTTGGTACAASATTACTTGAATAGTCGATTTAATTATAAAAAAAAATCAATATTCCATAAATTTTGGGTCAAGAATGCATGAATTCTCAGGATTTAATTTTAAAAAAGCCTCAAGATTTTAAAAATATTCAAGATGATTGTGATTAAAAAAACCCCTCAAAATTGCATTAATCTTGGACCCAGAATAGCACAATCCTAGACCGAAAAAATAAATCTTCCATCCTGGTCTAGGATTATGGAATGCCAATTCGAGATTGTGCTATCCTGGCCAGGTTTGTGCAATTTCAATTGTTTTGAAGTTGGAGATTCTATTTAAAAACTCMTCCTTCCTCCTCCCTATCCAAAATTGCATATTATATTCTTCTACGGTGATAACTTCCTCAACTTCTTCTTTTCAATCGAAAAATTCACGCATCTTTTTTTGGTTAGGGTGCGTGATTTTTGGTGGATTATGTTGCGATTGGTTTAGTTATGGGAGGATTTTTTGTGGATTTTATGTTGGTTGTCAATTTGATGAAGTTAGATTTTCGAGGTTTAAGGGGAGAGATTGGTGGGAGGATATTTTTGTAATTTTACCGGAGCAAAAAACGAAAATAGGTTAAAAATTAAAATGAATGGGTCACAAATAAGATTTTTTTAAGAATGGGTCAAAATCCAAATGCATAATAAAATGGGGTAAAAAACTCAAATTTCTAAGTTATTTTAAGAAGTTCTATTTTAAAATATATTATTTTAAACTAGGAGCGTCAATTTCAACTTGTCATACCAAATCCTTGCTTTAGGTCATAAAAGGCATTTTCTAGCTTGCACACATAGGTAGGATACTTAGGATCGACAAACCCTTCAGATTGGTTCATATAAACAGTTTCTTGTAACTCACCATTTAAGAATACATTAATGTCAAGTTGTTTGATCTCCCACCCATGGGTAATAGTTAGAGTGAGAATAACTAAAATGGTTGGAGCCTCTACCAATGGACTAAAGGTTTCCAAAAAATCAATTCCAGGTGTTTGGTGAAAACATTTAGCAACATGCCTAGCTTTATGKCTTTGCATTGCACCATTCAAATCTCTTTTCACCCTAACCCAGTTATTTTCTGCGACATTAAGATTGGATTTGTAGGGTACTAACCTCCAAGTCTTGTTTAGCATTAATGATTGAAATTATGATTGCATGATCACTTTCCATTGTTTGCTCAGTAGCGTTCTTTAGCAGTATTTGGTTCCTTATCAAATAGCTCCTTAGTTAGTCATGACACTGGGAATGTACTTTGTAGGCACTCTATTTAGGCTTAAAGATCCCGGCCATGCCTCTTGTAATCATTGGATGTTGATTATTGCCATTGTAGTAACTTCTATATTACCATCCTCAACTTCTATGGATGTCACTATAGGYTCTCTATTGTTGTCATTACATSGTGAGTCCTGCTCGAAGAGTGGAATAGATGAAATGAGATTGTTTCTCCCTACATACTATCCAAGAGTGGACTAGAAAAGGAAGTTCAAACTTCAATATTGGAGACAACTGCACCAAATGATGTCGTAGGAGTGCCCGAGATCGAATTAAACCAAGTGAAGGAGTTAGACAAGGGTGCTAATGGTGTCGATGGAGAGCTAATGTTAAGGATTTGGTTTTTTGGTTGAATAGAATACATAAAGTTACCCTTAAAAGGAAAGTTAGATTCAAAATTTAATGTGTCGAGAAATATATAATTTACCYGACGAACGTAGACACCTTTACCCTTTATGTTGGTCACTGTATCCGAGAAACACACACTTGGTAGTATGGAAGTTGAACTTGTACTATTGGTAGGGATGTAAACCAGAGAAGCAAACACATCCAAATATTTTGAGAAGTTTATAGTTGAGTTTGGTTTTTGTTATTTTTTTCAAAAGGAGATAATCCATTTAAAACTGGTGTGGGCAGCCTGTTTATGAGATAGACAGTTGTATAAAAGGTCTCCCACCAATATCTCAAAGGCATGGATGCTTGAGCTAATAGGGTTAGGCCAGTTTCTACAATATGGCAGTATTTTTTTTCCTGCTCTCCCATTTTGTGCTAAGATATAARGGCAAGAGTGTCGAAATTCAATACCACTTTGTTGAATGAAGTTTGTAAACACCCTATATTCTCCTTCCCAATTGGATTGGAGAATTTGRCGGTTGTTCCAAACTTATTTTCTACAAGTGCTTTGAAAATTTTAAAGCCAACCAATGAATCTGACTTTTGTTTTAAAGGATAGACCCATGTAAATTGCTAAAATCATCAATAAAGTGAATATAGTAAAGATAACCGTTTGTTGAAGTGATAGGTGCAAGACCCCATAGATAAGTTTGAATTAAATCAAGAACATATTGAGACTAAGAAGTAGAGGTAGGAAAAGGAAGAGAGTGAGCCTTGCCAAATTCACAACAATCACAAAAAACTGAAATTTGCATTAATAGGGTGAGGAGGGTTGCATTCTTTGAATATTTGATTTAAAACTCTAGATGATGGATGACCCAAACACCTATGCCATACATTATTTGATGAGTTTAATCTATGGGGTTGGAAATGAGAAAGAAAAGTAGAGTTACTGCTAGGGACGTTGACATTTGAGTGGAGTGGTGCAGCACTTATTGGAGGAAAAGGTTTGTATTCGTTGAGTTGGTATAATCCGTTCTCAAGTCTCCCTGTTTGAGCACCTTCCCTGTGAGCTTTTCCTTCACAAAACAAGTAGAAAAGTGAAATTCAACAACTACATTGTTGTCTTGGGTGAGTTTAGACGTTAGACATACTAAGCAATTTCTTTGTAATATTTGACACATGTAAGATGTTGTCCAGTTTTAACTTTTGATGAGAGGTAGAGGGCAAGAACGTTACTGATGTGAGTGATTTTTAATTGTGTACTATTTCCTACACGCACAGTTTCCTTACCATTGTATTTAGCCTTCCAATTTAAATTTGATTGGTCCTAGGCGACATGGCTTGAGGGGCCACTATCAGTATACCATGATGGATCAACCACTATCTCTTATGTTGAAATATAAGCCATTTGATGCATTCCATTGTCTGRCTATGATTGATGACCCRAGTCATCTTTATTGGAACGAAACCAACAATTTAATGCACTGTGTCCATATTTCCCACAACTTAACGCCTACCTCCTTTGCCATGTGCTCTTCCCCCTCTGAAATTTTGATTTCCTCGGCCATTTCCGTTTCCTTGTGAGTTATATCTGTTTACATAATTTTGAGTATTACCAAAGATAACATTTGCTGTGGAGTTGCCCAACTCAGAGTTTTGTGGTATTACATTAGGGTCTGCTCAAAAGCAACCAAAGTGCCATGGGTTTCTTGCTATGTAAGATTATCTTTTCCATTCAGTTGACATGTGATCGACAAGTATTCTGCATCTAAACCGAAAGTTAGATATAATACTAGAATTAGAAATGAGTTCATCTGCTAGAAACAAATTATCAGCTGTTTGCTTATTTTGAGCCAAATAGTCTGCCATTTTTGTGTTCCCTTTGCGGGTATTTTGCAGGTTAGCTTTTAGTTAGTTGATATGTGCCTTATTGGCTGATCCATATCTGTTTTCTAACGCCTTCCGCATCTCTCTTGAAGTGTTGAGGCTTACTACATCGCTTGCCATAGTTTGCTCCATTGAACTGAACATCCAACCTAAGAGAGCATGGTCGGTTGGAGTCCATCCTTTACATGCGAGATTGACAATGTAAGTAGTTGTTGCACCTTATTTGATTGCAACAAATTCTAAGGGAATTGATTTGGTTCCAAGGATGAAACCTTCAAGCCTTTGGCGTTTGAGGACAACCAAAACCATGGATTTCCACAATAGCTAATTTACTTCACTGCAAGTGCCATATTTAGAGGATTTCCAAATAGTATGAGTCTTCCATTGAAAGACTGCAAAGRTTTTTTTTGTACTCATGATGATGAAAAAAAAAATGTAAGGCTGAGACCAGATGACTATGATATCAAGTTTGTTTGTAGAGTAACACAAATGTTATGGAACTTCTCGTGAAAGTATTGARGTTTGTAATGAAATTTATAGGTACAAGCTTGTAGGTTGTTACAATTTGAACGCCTTAAAATAATTGCCTATACAATGAAGAAGATTAAGAGCTATATATAAGAAGCTACACCAAATCATATGGAAGAAGTTACAAGACCAAATCAAAAGAGTACTAAATACTTGTTTTAATATCTTGAAGCTTATAGTAATTTCATTTAAAATAAACTCAGCATTTCTTTTTCAGATCAAATCCTTTTTATCTCAATAAAAGAAAAAAAAGAAAAAGGTCATATCAGCCCAGAAATGGCATTCCTGCTGCACGATTTCTTAGGTGGCAAAAAATGTGGCCCACCAATCACCATTGAAGTTGTGTTTTTTTTTTTAAATTTTAAAATTTAAACTACATTTTTTTAAATATTTATTTCCAAAACTACATTATATTTTAAGGAGTTTTATTTTAAAATATATTATTTTACAACTTTCCAGAAGAAAAAGATAAAAAAATGCAGCGGCAGCAATTTTCACCTGGAGCATCGCCCGTGGAGCTCGGAGACTGTATAGAAGAGCTACTAAAGTTCACTCTCCAATCTCACATCGACGGAACCCTAGAGCATGATCTACGGTTGTCCGCCAACTTCTGCTCCCAACTTCTGTATGACGATACTCCTCATCTCAATTCTGATCGCCCTGGTACTAAACAAATATGAAGCCCTAGTTTATGATTTCCTACACGACAAAAGGAATTTGTTCTCTCTGTTGATTTTGTAATTTATTTATTGGACAAATTTCAACCAAGAAAGTACATACAACAAATGTTTGTTTTGACTGCATTTTGGAGTTACAGTGCTGGATTCGGTTTTGTTTTGTTTTGTTTTTTTTTTGTTTTTGCTATTTAGTTTAGTTTCGGTTTCTTTTTAATAATTTTTTTAGCTCAAGTTTAGGTGTTTTACTAGCTAAATTTAGGGGGATCTATTAGTTGATTTTAGGCAAAATAAATTGTCCTGCTTTGGTTTATGTGTTGATATGGTTAACAAGGGGCTTGAGAAATAATATATTCTTTTCTAACTGCAACCTTTCTATGATACTTCAAGATTGGAGAGCTTTGCTTTGCTAGTTTTTTGGGAAGGGACCTCCTTGGCCCTTGTTCTTAGGCTGTTCTTCTGTTCTTTTCTTTCTTAATGAATCGTTTTCTTATCTCAAAAAAAAAGGGGGGGCTTGAAAAATACTTCTTTTTCGCACTCAATGTTACATAGTTTTTACCAGAATGTTCCAGATTGTACAAGAATCTAGCGTTGGCTGTTTGGAAGTCAGTCTCCAAAACATCATGTGGGTCATTTGACAATATGGCATTATTAGATGACTTGGAGAACAAAGAAGAATGGGATGAGCTGATTACCCAAGGAGGAGCTGAATTAGTAAAGGCAAGTGCCTTTAATCATGAGTATTAGTCTCTTGAGTATATTAAGAGTGAGTTCGGAATGCACGTTTAGAAAAAATATTGATTAAGTAATTTCTCTAGAAAGTACTTTAAAGTGCTGTTACATATTCTTAGAATTTATATAAATACTTTTGATTATGTTAAAAATTAAATTAAGAGAATTTTTAACTATTTCAATAATCATGTCAAACACACCCTCATGTTCTCTAGATTGCTGCACAATGCAGGTTCTAAAGACAGTTAACTATGAGCTTCATGTTCAAGAGCCTTTCTTTACTCAGATAAAAGGTACTTCTATAAGATTTCATCTACATTCTTAAACTTGTGTCGGATGGGAATATGATCTTTCTTTTTTCATCCATGGGTAGTCTTGTGATATTCAGTTGGGCTAATTTTCTCATTCAATCTATTATTGGTTCTAGTTAATCTGAAGACAGTGGAAGGAAGATGTGCTGCTGGTGATTACAATCGGTATTGTCAAAAACTTTTTGATGACAAAATTACTTTCCATGGTGGTTGTGTGGTTTTTTTCTTTTTCTTTTTATTTTTCGGGAATTTTAATCTCATTGTGGTCCCTGAGCTTCCAAGATTATTTCATTTTGGTTCATGAACTTTTAGTTTTGTTCCATTTTGGTCCCTAAACTTTTAGAATTTCTATCTTAATCTTTTAAACTTTAAAAAATTAACCATTTTGGTACTTACCTTTAGTTGACCTTTTAACAGATTGCCAGTGTTGTACTAACATGTTAATATGAGTATGTATTCAGACCGCTTAGGTTGAAGTCAAGTATTGGATAAGCAAATATTATGTGGTAAAATAATATAAATGGCCTTTTTGAATATTCAGGGACTAAAGTAGACATAAGTTCAAGGAATAAAATGATTATTCTTTCAAACTTCAGGGACCAAGATAGAATAAAGCTAAAAGTTCAGTGACCAAAATGAGATTTAAACTTTATAAATCTTTCAATTGGTACATGATTTTCTTGTTGTTATTGGTAGGCAAACTTATAGTGTAGCACAAGTACGAAATTGGACCTTATAAAGTTAAAAAAGTTTGTATTGAACTTGAAAATATAACTCAAATGTGTCAAAGTGCAACTACTCCTAGAACTAGTGTGTTATTTTATTTCTTTTAAGTTTTTTCCCCATCTCCTTTGGTTCAGAGTTCAGCCTGGAGACTTGATACTGTTCAATAAATGTTTGTTGTGTGAGGTTCAGGTATTAACTCTGTCAAATGCAAGACATTGACATTTTCTGCAGCATCCGTTGTTTCTTTACAAACTTCTTAATTACTGCAGGATGTACGTCAGTACCTGTCATTTTCTGCAATGTTGGAAGCAGAGGGTCTTGATAAAGTTCTTCCCGGAGTAAAAACCTTAAAAGATGGTAAGTTTCAAACATATAAATATATTTATTTATTTTTGTATAGGAAATAATTTTATTGATGATATGAAAATTATACCAAAAAAAAAAATGATAAAAACATATCCAATTAAATTGTATAAGAGATCCCAAACTATAATTGCAAAAGGGTGAAATATCTTTACACCAAGATAAKTAAAGCCATAAAGAGTACAGGCTCAAAAACATATATTCTGGTGATTTCTCCATGTCTTGGAAAATTCTAGCATTTGTTTGGTTTCAGAGCAACTAAATGGAAGCTCTATTGAATTTTAGCCAAACGATTTTCTTTGCCTGCTTGAAAGGGTGTTCAGTGAAGATCRAAGAAAACCAAGCAGGGACATTGTTTGGAAAAATTATCAACCAGCTAAAGGCAGAGAAAAAGTGCCTCCATACCTTTAATGAAAAGAGGCACGCAAGGAAGAAGATGTGTGTTTGAGATTTGTTGCAAAGAGGAGACCAGCTTAGAGAGATAAAACCATCCAGGGGCATATTCTTCGAAGGGGATCATGTGTGTTGAGACAAGAATGCCTAAGTTTCAAAATCAAGAACTTAACCTTTTTTGGGCATGAATTCTTCCAGATAATTTTGTAGAGCTCGTTGTTGTTGTTCCCCACACCTGCAACAAGGTTTTTGAAGTCAAAGATTGATAAGAATATTTTCCATTTCTTTCAAGGTTCCATATCCATATATCTGCTCTTTCCGAGAGCCGGAATGAAGAGATTAATGAGAATAATGTTGCCCATTCCCTAATATCTTCATCTTTGAGGTTCCTGCAAAAGTTCATCTTCCAAGAGCCATTTCAGTATCTCATGAATCTGCCACCGTTGCCTCTTTKGTCCCAGATATAGAAAATAAATGGTGAAAGGTAATGAAATGGGGTTCGGCCATGCCGAGTTTCATTCTAGAAAAGGGTTGCTACTCCATTTCCCACCTTACTTGAAGTGTTCAAGTAAATAAGTTTACCTTGTTGAAGAATGGGCTTCCAAGGACCCYTTGAGGATGAAAGGATTTTTCACCCTGACTTTAGATCAAGATACTTTGTACCATATTTTGCTGCTGTAATTTTCCTCCATAATGTAGCTTTTTCAGATTGAAATCTCCAAAGCCATGTTGCTAGCTGTGCTTAAGCTCCTCATRCCCAAACTGAAGCAGATGTAGGTGAGTAAATGCAGTTATGCGTGATTACAAGCAGTCACGAGATGTTGTTATGTTGTCCACTTGCATGTTTGGTGCATGGAGATGTTTTCACATCAACTTAGGAATGGTATGGAGTAACTGCAAGGCTAAATGGACAAGGATAGGCAGTTATGTAACTGTCTCCCTAAATGGATAAGTTGGGCTTTGGCTATGTATTATTGTGTAGCCTTTCCACATCCAAACAACAAAGTCTATAAACAAGGCTTAGGTAGTTAGGATATGGATGGTGTAGCCAAGTCCCTCCTAGTGTTAGACTTGAGAGAGTCAAGTTCCTTTAGGGAGTGTTAAGCATCTCATGGAGAGGGAAATCCTTTGGGAAGGGACGTGGTTGTCTAGAATTGAAGTCAAATCTTGGTAGAGACGTTGTAATCCATCAAGGGGGTTGTTCTGATGGAAGACTTCGGTGGAATGTTGTAACCATGTAAACCATAGAGTCAAGTATGTCACAGGGCTTATGACATATGCGTGGATGTAACAATTCCTTGTTCATAGTGCAAATGAAAGAGGCTGGGAGTGAGTTTTACCGTTTGTTGGCTTGTGTGGCTTTACTATCTTGCTTATTACTCATAACATGTAGGCATACATACTAGGTGTCTTGAGCGAGTCGTGTGAATCTTGTGAGACATTGTTATGAGACTCATAACCTAAAGAGAGTTGGGAAGAGTGTTAACTCTCGCACTAACATGTGTAAAGAAACTATGATGTGAGATGGCTAGCCAACACAGGGCCTTGGTGCACGAGGGCAAAAATCTGTAGTTAGGATTTAACCCAATGATACTTGGTTTCATGGATGAAGGACACACCTAAGATTGGAGGAAATACTTGGAGTGAATTTGGGACAACTTTTTAAGGTAGTCCTTTTAAATGAAATATTTCTTTTAAAAGTACTTTAAGGATGAAACACTAAAGGAGTTTGATATAATTTGGATGGTGAAAATTGGTAATTGGTAATTAACTAAAAGCACGTATTAAGTCTTTAAATTGATAGTTAACTAAAACCACGTATTAAGACTTTTAGTATTTGGATGAATAATCAAAATGATATTGAAAATTCTTAAAACACTCCAAAAGTTAAGTTGTTAACTAGTGCCTTTTCAAAAGTTATAACTCACTCCTAGTTTCAATGGACTACGTGGTGAAACTTGCTTCAGGTGTCCAGGTATACAGAAAGTTCTATTCTGAAGAGAAAGAACTGTCCAATGGCGTGCTTGGGATCCATGTCAAAAAATCTGTTGCCCAGCCATTCATTGTTTTGTCCAGAATTATATCTGTGAGTTTGCTTACTTCCCCATTCTTCTCATAATATGTGGTAATAGCTTAAGAGCAGTGTTTTCGAGGCGCAAGGCGCAAGGCGCACCTGGAGGCGACAAGTCTTATAATCGCCTTGAGGTAAGAGGCGATACAAAGGCGACGCCTAAGTGAAGCAAGACGCACCTTAATAAATAATTACAAAATATATATAGTGCATAAATTTATAAAATAAACATAGTTTGAAAAATCAATACCAAAATGGTGTCATAGTAAATGTCAACAAGATACATAAAACAATCAAATTCTATAAGTTTAGTTCCCAATAAAGACAAACAACATTAAAATATATTAGAGTCTAGAATAGAACAACTGTAAATGTATGTGATAAAAAGTCATCATCCTCATCTAAATCTAAATTCTCTTCATCTTGGACGTCCTCACAATCTTCCATTTCCAATTCTTCTTCTTCGGTGTCATCATCATCATCACTAACCACCACCGACACTGATTTTCGAACTCTAGAAGTTGTGGGAGTGGGAATAGCAGGTGACTTTTCTTTAGATCTGGTTGATGTAGATCTAGTTTGGCTTACGGGCTCTCCAACACCACTAGCCTCGGGTATATCTCCCCATGTGAGGTCATCATCATCAAAGACTAACTAATTTTCTTCTTGACTATCTTCTTCTACGAGTGTTCCAATCAACCATTCATTACTTTCATCAATATGACCAAAGAAATCAAATCAAGTTGGTCTTGTAGGGTATAACGTTCTTTTTAAGTGTTTGGTTATATTTTACGTAAATCAAGCCATTAAGACACTTTTGCTCTAACCTACTCATCTTTTTGGAATGAATCTACAAAATTATTAAGGAATTTAGAATCAAAATTGGATTTTTATATCTTCAATTAACAATGGAACAACCAAATTATTTTCACTTACGTGTTMAAAAACACTCCAATTGCGCTCACCGCCAGAAGCGCTGCATGTTAGACTAAGGACTCTCATGGCTAACTTTCGTAAAATTGGAGCGTTAACGCCATAAAGAGACCACCATGAGTTTGCACATATTAAACAAATGATTTAGTAGTTCAAACTTAAATATGTCTATTAAAACTAAAAGTAATAAATAATGTCATTACCCGCTGTCTTAAGACCCCTCGTCCTTACMGCTACACCACTTCTAAACATGCCTTTCGCTTCATTGTACAATTCTAATTCGATTGTACATTGAGCTTGGTCTTCGATAGATGGTATCAGTCGTCCCACAACTTTAATTAGACTATCCATGACCTCAAGGTCTTGCATAATTCTCTCTTTGTTGTCATAGAAAAGAGATGGATTCAAATAATATTTGGTTGCATGTAAAGGCTGATGAAGTTGACAATCCCACCTTTTATCAACAATCTCTCAAATTGGTTTATACTTTGCCTCATTTCCATTGAAACCACTCTTAATCGTCTTTTTTGCCCTATCCATAGCTTCGTAAATATAACCCATAGTCGGTTTATCACCATCAAATAGCCTTAAAGGGCATGATGCCTTCAAAGTATATACAACTGAATTCCAAAACAATGACATCATAACGGTTTTAGTTGCTCTCTTCCCCCTTTGTGTCCTTCGCTCATCTAGAGGTGGTCCATTTCTCAGAAATAAACATCTTYCTCAAATTGGCTTTATTTCTGTGAATACTGGCTAGGGTTAAAAATAAGGTTGCAAAGCGAGTCACTGCTGGTCTTACCAGTCCATGTTGATTAGTAAATTCCCTCTGTCATGTTTAGCATATACAAGTGGTTGTAAATAAAAACACTGCCTTTCTAAGACACCTTTTAACTTGATCGATCTTTCCAATATCCTCTAAAATTAAATCTAAACAACGAGTAGTGTATGATGTCCAATATAGATGTAGTCGTTTTGCTTCTAAAAATTTTCCAGCTAGGACATAGATTGATGCATTATCCGTCACRACTTGGACAACTTTCCTCCTCCAAGCTTCTCTGCTATGCCATCAAAGAGTTGAAAAATGTTCTCTAGTTTTGATGCATGAAGATGCATCGATGGATTCCAAAAATATCGAACCAACAGATGAATGAAATAAAAAGTTGATGAGTGTCCTATCCCTCCTATTAGTCCACCCATTTGACATCAACGAACAACCATTTCTTTTCCATTCTACCTTGTGATCGGCCATTTGATTTTTTGTGTACTGTACCTATTTTTTCAAGTACGTTACTCGAGCTTCATGATAAGTAGGAGGTAACAAACCAGGACCAAATTGCCCCAAAGCTTCTAGCATCAATTCAAAACTTCTTAGGCGAACAATATTTAGAGGAATACCTGCTTGCTAGATCTATGATGAATTGTATTGTATATCCCTCACCTCTTTATCATATTTTTCAGAAATAGTTGATTGCTTCAGCCTCTTTAATCTATTTCTCTATCATCAACAACTTTACCAGGATGTTGAAAAACATATTTATCCATTGGCCCCTTTGATCTCGGTGGTTTTAACTGTGATGGATTATAAGAGCTAGTACAACTTCCTCGACCACTTTCTTTTCCTCTCCAACCGATACTACTTGCATTATCACTTGTTGTGTTTGTTCTTATTCGCTTGTTCGTTGGAGCTGATGTTGATCCACTACCACTACCACCAACTACTTCCACTCATCTTCCTCATCTTCTTCAATCAGAGTTAAATCCTCATACGTTGGGAGGATATTACTCTCTTCCCTTCTTGCGTTTGATCTTGTTGATACCCCTTAAATTCTTCTCTCACATTAGTTGGACATTTCAAACATGCTTTTATATTTCGATTTTCCCCAACCAAATGTTGTGTTGCTCGACAAATGCCACCATTAGAAATTTTTCCACAAAACATGCATTTGCAAGTGTTTGTATTTTTCGGATCATCCAATATGATATATTGCTAACCGGGATGCTTATGTTTGTTTTCACCTTCTGCCATCTTATTATAATTGAAATTTGGAATAATAAAAATTTAAATAAATAAGAGAAATATGAAGGAAAGAACCTTAGTGAAAAAGAGTCACTGTGAAGATTCAAGAAAGAATTGGTGTGAAATGAAAGAGATGAAAAAGAATAAATAAGGTAAAAGAATTAAAAAAAAACCAGAAATAAACCTTCGAAAGCCGGAGTAGGAGGGGGCGACGACAACAGACGGAGGAGGAGGCGGCAGTGGCGACAGACAGAGGAGGAGGCGGCGGCAGCGACAGATGGAGGCGACGATGGTCGAAGATTGAGGGTGAAAGTCGAGAGGTAGAGAATTGAGAAGTTAGGGTTTGGAAGTTAGGGTTTGAAGATGTAATTTGTGAGGGAGGATTTCAAACGTATTTAAGAAAAAGAAAATAAGGTAGATCGCCTCGCTTCGACGAGGCGATTGCCTTGCCTCAGGCGAGAGGCGTACCAAGGCGAGTGCTTGGGCACCTTTCAAGGYGTAGTTGGGCGAAATTGCCTTGCCTCTCGTAGGAGGTGAGCACTCGAGTGCGTCGAATCACTGTTTAAGAGTTAAGGTTTTGTAGTTTTCATTTAATTTGCCGCCTCCAAATTTTAGGATGGAAAAATTATATATAAAAAAGTTGACCATTCCTAAGAATAATTGTTTGGCTGCACTCGTGTTTGGTGAGATGGAACATGAGTGAAACTAGTGCAGGTGAACAATCGAACAACATACATTTGGAAGAAATCTCATTTATTTTTAACATCTTTTTTACTGCATGACTAAATTATTACAAACTTTTAGAAGGGTTTAAATTATATTGTTTCAAATTTAAAAGGACAAAGCTAAATTGTTAACTAAAGTTTAGAGTCTAAAATTAATACTTCACCAAAAATACAGAGACAGAAAGTGTTTTTTTCTTTTTTTTGTTTTTTTTGAACTCTATTTAGTTTATTGTGCTGAAATGGTAAGAAAAAAAAAATAAGAGAGAAACTAAGGGTGAAATCTGAAAACAAAGGATTCAATGAAAAACAGATTTGTATTTCTTATTTTCATATGTGTTTGGTAACATATTTAGAAATTAAATCTCAATTTGTGTTTAGTAATATATTTGCAAATAGTTTAGTTCAATCTAAAATAATATTAATTAATTTATTAACATTTTTGTTATAAATTTTGTAGAATTATTATATAATATTGTATCTTTTATAATAAATTATAGTTTACATATTTTAATAATAAAAAAACTAAATGAATTTATAATATGAAATAATATATTTATAAGTTTTTATATATTTTTAATGTAATTCAKTATTTTAAAAGTTTAAAATTCAAAATTTGAAAACATTGGAGATATAAAAATATTATTTTCAGAATTTCCACTATTTGAATAACATAATTAACAAATCTACCTGACCAATAGATTCATGAACAAGATTGCTTATCAAATAGGCTTTTAAGTCTCTCTTTCTCCCTACCCCTTTTGACCTGCCCACCATTAATTTTATATATTAAAAATCCCATTCACTTTTGGTTATCATTAGGACCAAATGATATATATTTTTTTGACAAATTTTAGTGGGTGGGCAAGTCATTAACACATGATCAAGTTGGAGTAGGTAAAGATGCTGCTTGTTTGGTTCAGGGTTTAGGTTACAAGGGCATTCAAAACCTTATTGCCTTTCCAAACACAGAAGAAGAAGCAGTTTAGGGATTAATTTCAACTGCTAAAGCCAGTTAGTTTGACTCTCTACATGAATTTAAATGTGCTTGCTACTTATTATGTGTAAAATCCTTGCATTGCTTCTCATTCTTAATGATTATTATAATAACACCAGCACTCTGTAGTTGTTAACTTGAGCATAGTTCTAATGATCTTAAACTTAAGAAAAAAAATTTGTTACTATTTTTCTTGCATATTCATTTGGTGGACTAGTATGTAATTTGTTTTGGTTGCTTGAAGATATAGTAATTTTTCTTAAACCTCAAGATTTTACATCTTTAGTTGAATGGAATTCTTTTTATAATAATAAATAGAAGCGAAAGAAACTGAACCGATTCG